CTTAAGACTGCTATGTACATAGATAACAACATAATAATATGACTTAAGACTACTATGTACATAGTTAACAACATAATAATATGACTTAAGACTACTATGTACATAGTTAACAACATAATAATATGACTTAAGACTGCTATGTACATAGATAACTACATAATAATAAATCTAATTTGAATGGATCACAGTTAGATAACAGCCTTAACATATCAGGCGTTGATAAATTAGACACATGTGCAACTCTTGGGTATCGTTATTGAGGAAACGTTTCGCCACACAGTGGCTTCATCAGTCCATACATAGGAGAAACTTGAAGAACAGGAGGAGAATGAGGTAATCAGTCCCTCAACCTTGAGTCGATGTGTTCAGTCCATCAATCTTGAGTAGAATACGGCAGATGAGCGGAGAAGCAGCTTATAAACCGTATGGCAGGAGAGGTGTAGCAGTCATAGGTAGTGTCACATTTGTTCAATGTGGAAGTAGGTTGTGCCCAAGAATTAGGCAAGCGAAGATTTCCTAAGTATTAAGATCCCAAGAAGTTGCAGTGTCTGACAGGTGTCTAATTTATCAACATGTCGGTTCTCTGAACCATTCATCTACAAATATCAGGCGTTAGAGAGTAATTCTCATAGTACAAGTCCAAGTCCAACATGCGTGTAGTCACCAAACCTCCCCCCTCCCCCCCTTTTGCCTCCACGAAATCCCTAAGTAACCCATGCCCCTCCACCATAGACCTCCCTGGCAAACCAAACTGAGTTTTTGATACTACCCGCCCCACCACACACTTGACCCGATTTCCCAAAATCTTCGCAAACAATTTGTAATCTGCGCATAACAACGAGATCGCCCGGTATTCCCGAAGCGTATGCTCCCCCTTTAAACCCTTCGGTACCAATACAACGACAGCCGTTGCCTGCTTCTCACCCAGCTCACCTCTCTCCTTCATGCAATTAAATAACCTAACCAAAAAATGCCTCATTAATTCCCAATGCTGCTGATAAAACTCTGCTGGAAGTCCATCAATTCCCGTGCTTTCCCCTTTCGCATTCCACTTAAACCCCTCCCATATTTCCCCCTCAGTTATTTCCCCACCCAGTGCTTCCCTATCACTGTTACGCAACTGACATGCCACACTCCCACACACCTGTTCTAAAACCCCATCCTCAACCTCTTCCCCGTTGCCAGTATTTCCCTCATACCACTTATCAGCAAACGCCCCCATTCCTTTCATAGCTTGTATGACCTGCCCCTCCCTGTACCCTCCTATCGACTCATGAACCTCCAACCATGGAATAGTCATTGCATGCTGTCTTTGTTTTTGCCTACGCAATACGCACGATGAAGGTCTATCTCCCCATAACACCTCTTCCACCCCCACCTGTACCCGCACCGCTTGGAACCTCTCATCCTGTACCTCATGCAGCCTCCCTTTAATTGCCATAATATCATCCATTGGATAAGTGCCCGCCACTGCCCCCCTCGCATAACAACCCCGTAACCTATCCTCCAAATAGTTGGCAAGCCCATATTTTAAAGAATTGATATGTTTCCCTTCTCTTACGTAATATTGCTTAATCCGTTCTTTAGCCACAAATTCCCACCACATCACCACATCCCTTACCCCATTTACCTCTGCACGTAGCCCCTCCCACAGCGTTGCAAATCCCTCTATCCCCTCCTCATCACCTAACACACTTGTATTTAACTTCCAATATCCCCTAGTTTATCCCTGTTAGTGACTCCCACCCCCAACCTCTGCTACTACCGCCCGATGATCCGAATAAGCTACTTCTATTGTACGGAAAAATGTCAACCAAACCCCTTTGAGATATATACAGCCTACCAACCTAGCTGCGTAACCCCTTCTTACAAAAGTGTGCTCTACCTCCCATCCCCCCTCCCCCCAACCGCATCCCGCAACTGAATATCCCTCAAAAGATCTCGCCAAGGCCGCCAACACGTGCCCCGCCCCTTTTGGTTCTATGTCAGCCCTCCTAATAACGCAGTTCCAGTCCCCACCAACGATGGTCACTGCAGGAAAAACCACATAAGAAGAAAACTAGTTCTTCACATCCCAAAATCCCCTTTTTACTCTCACATCATTTTCTGCTGGTGCATACACATTTTACAAAGGATACCCTCTGCCCCATCCACCACCCATCCATGCGCAATACTCTCCCCCCCTCCCCCCTCACTTCTTAGCAACACAAACGGGCTCGCCTCCCTGTCAATATACCCACACCACCTTTCAGACGTGCAGATGGCAGTCATGACCTAAAAACCCCCTCTACCTCGAGCTCTCTTCCCTCCTTGAAATTGTGTTCTTGCGGGAAACACTACATCCACCCTATATTTACACAGAAACTTTCGAACCATTCCCTCTTCACACTATTACACAGTCCGTTATGTTCACAGTCATACACCTAAGGCCTCTTTATAGTTTCCAACCCTTCCTCCTCTCTTCATCATCCCAGGGCCTCCTGCCCCAGACCCAGCACAAGGCTTCACCACCATCAACCCCCCCCCCCCTTTTTTGCGATGCCTCTTGACTATCTCGACAGTGCTCTTCCTTCTCCCAGACCTCTGCGCCGGCATCAGAACATCATCTGAGTCTGATGCTGCCGCTCTCTTCCTCGTGATGCCCTCCACATCCATGTTAACTTCTGAGGTTCCCCACGATGTACCTCAACCTCCACCACGCCTCGTTCCACAAGCACACGGCGACAACTCACGCTTACTAGTTGACCCTTCAACCCTGCTATGGTTTTTATCATTACATTCTTCTACAGGCAACACCGTGCCTCTCACCAGCCCAGGAACAACATTCTCCGCAGGCAGCGTCAATGTCCTCAACACTTCCTGAAGCTTTTCCTCGAGGCCTGCACCTCCTCCTGCACTTGCACTTCTGTACTTTTTTCCTTGCCTAGTAACAGATCCTTTTATGTCACGCTTACCTCACACACGCCAGTTCTCTTCTTTGGAATCCTCCCCTCTTCACCCCTCAAGCGCCCAAGCCCTTGCTTTTGCGTGGGGCTCTCAACAACGCTACCACGCTGGTAACTGGTGCTTCCACCAGTTTGTGCGGGCACCCTCCTCAGCTTCACACATGCTGCGCCATATGGTTGTATGCCCCACATATTCTGCACGTACTCTCTGTCCGGCGTACGATACCAAACTTGCGTCCTGAAGTCCTCCAACACGACGTAAGACGGTAGGGGATGCCCTCAGAGTCATCTTCAGGGAGAAGTTCCCTCCAGAGGGCCCCATGTAAGAAACCAGCCGTCCACTTGCCCTTTTTGGGGCCAGATGTGGGGGTTTCCCCAAATATGCCTCAAAAACACTCCTGATGTCAGCCTCATCTGCCTCAAAGGGGACATTACGAAGCTTACCCACGTAAAGGGGCGAGAAAACGTCGCTAAACTCCCCTTCACACTGGAGTAGCGTCAAGACTCACGTCTTGGAATCTCGTCACCAAAGACTCGTAACATGGCGTGGAATTCAGTTTGACGAAGATTCTGTAAGCCCCATTCAGGGCAACACCATACACCTCATCGTCCTGGATACATAGGTCTCCCTAATGATTGTTGGGAGTAAGACCTGCGCTGAAGAGGGTGAAACTCCCCCACGAAGCAGCTCAATACCGATGGTATTTAGGGCGCCTCCTCACACTCAGCGCCATGTTGTTTACAAGGAAAGCTCGCCTGAAAACAGCAGTGGGGTGCAGAGCACAACCGCACTCTACCGTGGTCAGAGAGATAAGATAAGATTTTGTTCGGTTTTTTAAACCCCCAAAGAGGGTTAGCCCCCCAGGATAACCCAAGAAAGTCAGTGCGTCATCGAGGACTGTCTAACTTATTTCCATTGGGTCCTTAATCTTGTTCCCCAGGATGCGACCCACACCAGTCGACTAACACCCAGGAACCTATTTGCTGCTAGTGAACAGGACAAAAAGGTGTAAGGAAACGTTTTCGGAATTTCCACCCCCCGGGGAAATCGAACCCGGCCCTCCGTGTGTGAAGCGGGAGCTTTAGCCACCAGACCACCGGGCAGCGAATGGTTAGAAATAAGGCATCTACAGAGACAGACTAAGATTCAATATTAGGAAAATTGTGTATAAGGATGCTTTAACAAGACGGCGACTGTGAAGGTTGGAAGGGTAGATATTTTGGCAGAGAACCAGTCAGTAGGTGATTGTGATGTCTGACATGACAGAGAAAAGCATTATTGGTGTTGGCGAGTCTAAAAACAACTTTTGTGCTCTTTAAGTATGTTGTATTACATACGGTAATACATACGGTAATACCCCCAGTAAGTAAATTTATTTAGGCACAGATACACATAAGTACACTTATCATACATAGTGTAAAAATTTCTAGGATAACCCCAAAAAAGTTAGACAAAGTGATTTATTTCCATTGCATACCCCTCAAGGGAGGTTTCTGATGGTGAAGGGCTCTTTATCTAGGGGAATTGGATCTGTGCTCCAAATTCCCCGAAGTGAGCCTGAATACCTTCCATTCCGCCCCTCCCCACGCACGTGCGCTGTATAATCCTACGGTTTAGCGCTCCCCATGATTATAATTATAATAATAAATAATATATAATAATATAAAATAATAATAACCTTCCATTGCATAATAAATGGCTGGCTCCATTTAAATCAAACCATTGTTAAACAAAATCTGTAAACCTATGTATCTTTATGCAGAATTGAGGTTTTATTTATTTATTTAATTGATTATTATAATCAGTTGTGGTGGTGCTTAACAACATAACAATTTTTTTTAAAGAGACTTTCTGCTCTTGTCTAAAAATCTTAATGCCACGTCCCAGACTGCGTTATTAAAGATATTAGAACTTTGAAACCTAATAGTAAAAGGAGAATTTTAAATATAAAAAAATTTCATGTATCACTATTTTTATTTCTCTTTGTTGTCTTAAAACGGAAAAGTTTTTGCGTAACAGAAATAAGAATAAGAAAAAACTTGCAAGATATTCCCCAAATGCAGTCAGTGTTGACGGTTTTAGGGTCGAGGCGGCTCACTTCTCTCACCTCTGACACAAAAAGGTTTATTTTTCCTGTTTTTGTCTACATTTATTCCTCCAGAGAGGTTCCTTAGCCGGGGAGGGGGGTCTTAATCCAAGGGATTGGTCTTATCCACTTCCTTGGATTGAACCCGGGCTGTCTTCCTACCAGAGGCTCTTTATGATGCGACTGCTGTGGGGTTTAATGCTTCCCGTATAAAATTTTTTCAATATGTATTTTTGTAGCCCGCTGTGTTAATCCCAAAGCATACATAGTAAATGTGTAATGGTGAGGCAGCTAAACTCATCTGATATGGTAATTAGGAGGTCATAAATGTGGTTAGGACTTCAGCTGAAATGATAGTTGGCCAGGGGGCGTGTTGGCTTGTTTTATTAAGTTTTTGTTTAGTATAGAAAATTAAAGATTTACAGTTGACTTTTATTGTATCTTATGTGTAAATTAATCTTGGATAATACCTTTTAGTCTTACCCTGACCCTTTTAAATTTGTTGAGTAAGTTTGTAGGTTTCGTGTGGAATTATGCTGCATGACCCTTGTCGGGTTTTAGCGCTTTCTTTGATTTTAATAATATAATAATAGAAAGGAAGTTACCTCAAAGGGAGATGCCCCTCAGGGGAGGTTTCCTGGGGGTTGGTGTGGGCTCTTGATCCAAGGAATTGAACATAATCTCCCTTGGATCAAACCTGATTACCTCCCATTCCCCAGGTGTTATGTTAATTAATAATAACTTATTAATAATTGCTGGTCATTTTTAATATTTTTTCGGTTAATTTCTTTTGTAGATTTTGCATATTTTTTGTATATTAATATATAGAGAAAAAACACACGTGAGAATTTAAGACAGTTATTAAGGATATGTTTTCGCCAACCAGTGGCTTCTTCACTGCAGTACAGGGATCAAGATACAGTTTTTAAACTGTAAAATGGCAAAAGGCAGGTGTGACATACCCGCCAGTTATATCCTGGTATTTTTTAGAAAGTGCTGAAAACATGTGTATAAGTTACATTCGTTTATTATATTTTTTTTGGGGTTATCCTAGGTAATTACACATGTGCTGTTATGTTTGATAATTTATGTAGCTGTATTTATGTGTACATGTACCTGAATAAAACTGACTTACCTATATTATAGGCCTTCAAAAGTGACAAGTGATGAGGATTTAACCAAGGCCTATCCCATGCAGTACTGCTTAAAATACTGTACAATATGCTGATTTTGATCATCCGAAGTATTTTCTGATGGGTAGACAGCAAATATACAGTTCTGTAAATATTTTAGCTTGAAGGCTATTCCATGACCAAATCACTCTGTTCTGATTATTATTTCTTTTGAGTGTTAATATAAACTAGATTAGTGATATATTTTGGATATGGCATATGAAACAAAAAATGAGTTTGTTGAGATGAGGATACAATGAATTACACATCAGTCAATTAATTTTTTTTTTTTATTTTTTATTTTTTTTTTTTTTTTTATCACACTGGCCGATTCCCACCAAGGCAGGGTGGCCCGAAAAAGAAAAACTTTCACCATCATTCACTCCATCACTGTCTTGCCAGAAGGGTGCTTTACACTACAGTTTTTAAACTGCAACATTAACACCCCTCCTTCAAGTGCGGGCACTTACTTCCCATCTCCGGCCCAAAAGCCGGCCTGCCGGTTTCCCTAACCCCCTTTTCAAAATGTTCTTTGCTCACACCCAACAGAAGGCAAGTATTACTCAGTACAAAAAAAGCAGCAGTGCAAAAAAAAGGTGATCAAGCTGTGTAGGAAGATAAATATTCGTGTTATTTGGTTTTTAAATTACGTATAGTATTAGCACAAATATAAACTTTTAAAAATTACTCTTTCCCTCTTGAAAAAAACCCAGCAGGGGCATAAACTGGTGACAGGGGGTGATTTAACCAAGAAAAATCAATATTTTACAGGGCCCTTTCTAAAAAGTCTTTGTTACTAAAGGGCAAGAACCTGTCCAAAAATTTGGGAGCTACCCTTACCATTTTTTGGGATAATTATCTCCCATTCCCCTGACACGCCGGACCCCCTTTAAATTTTAGCATTTTTTAAAAATTATTAAATCCAGTGGGCCATAGTACAGAGAAACTGAACACTGCCTGACACTAAAAACTTCATTTTTCCAATAAAACTGTCAACCAGGGCTTCCAATTATACAGGGGAAACCCTATTTACGATGCCCATCGTTCAAGTTTTTTGAGTACAAGCCGTCGATCGGTCAATTTTTTGCTCTGATTTACAACCAGCTTTAGTTGCAACCAGCCCCCCCCCACTTCCCCCTCAACCCAAAACCTGGACATCTCTCTTGTATACTATATTTCATGCTTTTAATTTCATGAAATCATCCTTTTTTTTCTATAAAGCGCTGCCTTTGCATTTTTCTTTCAAAACCCATGGTTAGAAAAGCAAAATTTGGAAAAATGACTGTCAAAAATAAGTAAAGCAGGGAAACTGCTCCCACACTAGGTAAACAGTGCACTGATTGACTTCGTTCAAAACTCTCGTTTTAAAATGCTTTTAGAAAAAATTTAGGGAACGAAGCTCTTACTATTGAAAAATGAAAATTATTATAACTATTGATAATTTAGGAACTGAACCCCCTTTACCAGCGCAAGGTTCCTTAATGAGGTGAGGACTCTTGTCGGGGGAAATTTGGGATATTGCTCTATTTTCCCTAAATTAATAATAAAAATTATAATAAAAAGGAAATCATCATATTTTTTGTCTCACACTGTCCTTTACACTTACTTTTTTAGGGCCCATGGTTTTTAAAAAACGAAATTTTTGGGCCAAAAGACTGTCAAAAATTAAATAAAGCAGGGGAGAACTGCTCCCACGCTAGGTAAACATGCACTGGTTGGGGTTCGTTCTGAGCCTCGTTTTAAAAATGTATTTTTATTTTTAAAGGGAAATGAACTCTGTTGTTATTGTAATTATTATAATTTTTTGTTATTATTGGCTTCAGTTCCCAAATTATCAAAATAAAAATTAATTATAATACAGGGAAACCCCTGGTTTTTCATATTATTTCATTTCCCAAAAATATGTTCAGGGCCAGTAATGACCGAATTTGCTCATAAGAATATTTGAAAATTAATTATCATTTCAACCCCAAAAATACCATACAAAAACACTTTCAAAATACACTTCATAATTGGGCCATTTGGGCGATCGAAAACCCGGGGTCCATGTATTGCAAAAATGATAGAGCTTTAGTTCCCTAAATTTAATTAAAAATAATAAATAGTTGTTACAAAACGATAGAGCTTTAGTTCCCTAAATTAATAATGTACATAATACATATGTAATAATAATTCAGAATGCTGCTGCTAGTTGGCAGTACACATGTTTACGTCGCTGTTGATGCAGCTCTCTTCTGCTTTGCTTACAATTTTGACAGTCATTTGGCCAAATTTCGCTCTTCTAACCCAAGGGCGTTACAATAACGTCTAAGCTGCAGACTTCTCTCCATGAAAAGATGGAGAAGCTGCTTCTGATGTGGTTGAGAGAGAAGCAGCTCGCAGGAGATACCATATCAGTTATGTTCAGTGATTAAAGAAAACAGATTGTATCAGTTATGTTCAGTGTGTAAGTACATATACACTTTATAAACAGTTTATTTCTTTACATTCTGTGGTGTATTATGATTATTATATGTTTATATACGATATTTTCAATGTTTTCCTTAGAATACTAATGATCTAATGCAGTTAGCCTCAAAAATACTCTGTTTTCTCTTACAATAAGAGCATAGGAAGATACTATAGTCAAAGTTGGACAGGAAATGGCGGACGCTTCCGCCGCTGCCTCTGCCACCATATTATGGCCTATTTTATTCATTCTAGAGTATATATCATGTTTCTGTGTTAATTATATTATTTATTATGTCATATTAGATGAATTGTGATAGATAAATAAGCCATACAGTTGATAATAGCGTCATATTCAAGTATTTTTCCTCGTCTCTCCAGAGTGCAGGAATGAATTAATGGCTTTTCAATTTAAACGAGGAAAATTAATTTGATATACGGGTAAATTGAGTTATGAAGCTCCTGGAACGGATTAAACTTGTAAGTCAAGGTTCCACTGTATTTTCCATTTTCTGCTGGAGCTCCCACAGCCTAATAATTCCTCCATTAATTGGGTTCCTCATATTTTATGGAAGCAGGGCTCAATATTGCAAGGACTTTATTTTTCTTTACATTTTATTCCAAGTCCAATAAAAAATCTGTTATCATATTACAAGCTGTTTATTCTTGTGGAACTTTTATTGGCATTGGAATGTTGGCTTGTGACAGTTGGGCCTGATGTACATACAGTAAATGTACTTTTTATTGTTAAATACACCCCCTCAGTGGCATTGCCTTGACACTGGTGAGGCACTCTGGAGCCAAGGAATTAGACATATCCTGCTTTTCCTTGGATTGAACCTAATTGCTTCCCAGTCTCTCAGGTGCTATATAACCCCTATGGGTTTATAGCAGTCCCTATGACTGTAAATTAAATTTACATCATCTGTTCCTCTTTCTTTGCTGCTTTCTCTCTTTTCCAGTCTATAAAGGATATTAGATACAGCATTTTTTTTTTAGTTAATGACCATTAGATTCTATCCAGAGAAACCTTAATTTTTTTCCAGGTAGGACGTGAGTGAATAGACATCAAGCCATGGGGACCCAGGAGCAACCATGTTACACCCTCATTCAAGGGCCAGCTGACACTGAGCAGCCTTCAGAAATGCAGTTAAAACAAGACTTGGGTAAAAATTATTAATTAATACTGAATCCTCCACAGGAAATCTTATTTTCAACATCAGGCATTTCATGTAGTGATTGCATTTGTAAAGGAATTACATAAGCTATTGACTGAAAATGTGAAGGATTCATTTAGGTTGTTTGACCAAATGTACAAATGATTTGTGTAACCTAAAAATGATTTTAAATGAAAAATATTGATATGTTTTTTTATATCTAGCTAATCAAAAAATTGCATGTACTGTATTTTTTCCAGAAAATGGTGATATCCCTGTCAAGACTGCAGCTCTGAAAAAGGTCATCCAGCTGATCTTGAATGGAGAACGTCTTCCAGGGATCTTGATGACTGTAATACGCTTTGTAATGCCACTTGAAGATCACACTATTAAGAAGCTGTTGTTGGTTTTTTGGGAGATTGTGCCCAAGACCACACCAGATGGCAAGCTACTGCAGGAAATGATTCTTGTTTGTGATGCCTACAGAAAGGTACCTAATTTTACATTTTCAATGAACAGATAATGCTAGTAATGTAGCGAGAATTTATTTAATTGGTGTGCATATGGGGCTTATAGTGTGAAGGGCACATTAGCATAATTTTTGTTTTAATTAATGAAGCATATTTTATAATTTTGTTTTACATGATGGTAGGATTGCTGGTGTCTTTTGTCTGTCTCATAAACATGCAAGATTTCAGGTATGTCTTGCTACTTCTACTTACACTTAGGTCACACTACACATACATATACAAGCATATATATACACACCCCTCTGGGTTTTCTTCTATTTTCTTTCTAGTTCTTGTTCTTGTTTATTTCCTCTTATCTCCATGGGAAAGTGGAACAGAATTCTTCCTCCGTAAGCCATGCGTGTTGTAAGAGGCGACTAAAATGCCGGGAGCAAGGGGCTAGTAACCCCTTCTCCCGTATAAATTACTAAATTTAAAAAGAGAAACTTTTGTTTTTCTTTTTGGGCCACCCCGCCTCGGTGGGATATGGCCGGTGTGTTGAAAGAAAGAAAGATTTTATACTTTACCCTTCTTAAAAATTGCTACATAGTTTAATCATTATAATATATATTTCAGGATCTCTCCCATCCCAACGAATTCATCAGAGGATCAACTTTACGATTTCTTTGCAAACTGAAAGAACCAGAGCTGCTTGAGCCCCTGATGCCCACTATCCGCACTTGTCTTGAACATAGACACTCTTATGTTCGAAGGAATGCTGTTCTTGCTATTTTCACTATTTACAAGTAAGTTTCATAGGTTACTGCATTATATTGTTGGATTAAAATGTTGGTACTATAGACATATAAACTAGCAAGAAAAAACCACTTTGGTACCAAAGTCTGGTCAGAGTTAGCTGTACATTGTCACTATATTAGACATTTTGTTTTGTAACATTGACTTGTTCTGGGCACATAATTTATTTTTATTTTACTTGCCCTAAACAGTGGGGTAGCATCTAACAGGTCATGGCAAATTAGTTACAGCACAGTATTACACAATACAGGAGGTCCTGCTTTACAGCATTTCACTTATACAGTGGTTTTCAGTTATACCTATTCTTCATTTATTCAGGAGACCTACATTAAATATATTCACCACAATGTAATGTGGTGTACTGTATATGCATTTTTTTAGGCCTAGCTCACTTAATATATGATAGTGTAAACATGTTATCAGGCTTTTATATGCATTTGAAAGTGAAAAGAGGCTATTTCACTTTACAGCGGTAGCCCGGAACCTAACCTACTATATAAGCGGGACCCTCTTGTAGTTATTGTAGTTATAAATTTCTTCCAGATGTACTGTTATAGATAACAGTACCTCTGAGGGAATGTATATTGAGCAGACAGTAATGATTATACCAAGACGAAGTAAAAAGAGTGCCCTACAAGAATTGAGATTTTATTTGTTCTATGTTGTTCGGACAATGAACAACAATATGAACAGCTTCTCATACAGTATTAAGCCCTGTTTTGCTAATTATTATTTGTAAATTCAAAGTTTATTCTCTATAAGGATTACAATGCTGAGTTTACAGAATTTGGTTATTGTGTGGTTTACAAGTAGTAAAATAATAATTACAGAGTGTACCACTAGAACACCTAGCATGGCTATGGTCCAAGTCAGACCGAAACATCGTTGTAAGCTACTCGATCCTATGTGCAGGTTGTGTATTAATAAAGTAATTGTACATAAATTTTAAAAATTCTTTTAATTTCATGATGGTTTACAGTACAGGTCGGTTACTTTTAAATCTTTTAAATCCATTGCTGCTATTTGATCGTGCAACACCATCATAAGTATGAATAAACTACTCATTGTGCACTTTCATTATTTCACTTGATCACTTTCCCTCATGGGTTTACTTCATCTCTTATGATTATCCTGAGTTTCATTCTTGTACTGTATTGTGCTTTTCATTTTTTCTGTAAACAGCATATCAGTTATATTTTAAATTGTCCACAATCACTCTTCAGCAACCTTCCCTTTTCTGCACTGGTCAGCCGTTTTTTCTTTTTTTTTTTTCTTTTAACATTATTTCTAAATGGAGGTTGTGTAACTGTAGTATTGGTGGAATCTAAAGGCATGTGTATATGCAGTGGAATCTCGGTACTCAATCTGAATTCGTTCCAGAAGGAAGTTTGAGTACCGAATGAATTTTTCACAACCAATATTCTTTATGGTTGGCTGTTATCACTACTCTTTGTGATATATAAAAAAAAAAATACAAAGAAACATGAAATAGTTTACAGCGAAGTTCTGGCAGGTCGTGTTTGTTTGGTTGAGTGCCAAGCAAATGGTCGACTGCCGAGTGATTTTTTTTACCGAACAAAGCATTCGAATACTGAATTGTTCGAGTAGGGAGCTGTTAGAGTACCGAGGTAATTGGGGCACTTGTTATTGAATGAGGGGCTATTTGGAAGAAAAATTGCACTTATTTTGTTTTATAAATAAATTTTTGTTTATTTATCAGGAACTTTGATTTCCTGATTCCTGATGCTCCTGAACTCATCTCCAACTTCTTAGAGGGAGAGCAGGACATGTCATGCAAGAGAAATGCGTTCATGATGCTTATACATGCTGACCAAGAACGTGCTCTTACCTACTTGTCCACTTGTATTGATCAGGTCAACTCCTTTGGTGATATTCTACAGTTGGTTATTGTTGAGCTTATTTATAAGGTAAGTTTGTAAAAATATGTTTTTTTCCTTTACATGTTGGAAAAGAAAAAAAAGTAGAAATATTGAGATTTTTAATGATTATTAATCCGCTCAGAAACTACATGCCACTGGGCTGTATGTGGCACTTACAGTACTTCATTTGGTAGTAGCATTTGATATTTTTGTTTAATAAATGTATGAAAGAGGGGAAGGTACCTAGGGATTGGTGGAGAACGTGTTTAGTCCCTTTATATAAAGGGAAAGGGGACAAAAGAGATTGTAAAAATTATAGAGGAATAAGTTTACCGAGTATACCAGGAAAAGTGTACGGTAGGGTTGTTATTGAAAGAATTAGAGGTAAGACAGAATGTAGAATTGCGGATGAGCAAGAAGGTTTTAGAGTGGGTATTGGATGTGTAGATCAAGCGATTACATTGAAGCATATATGTGAACAGTATTTAGATAAAGGTAGGGAAGTTTTTATTGCATTTATGGATTTGGAAAAGGCATGTGATAGAGTGATAGGGGAGCAATGTGGCAGATGTTGCAAGTACGTATATGGAATAGGTGGTAAATTACTAAATGCTGTAAAGAGTTTTTATGAGGATAGTGAGGCTCAGGTAGGATGTGTAGAAGAGAGGGAGACTACTTCCCGGTAAAAGTAGGTCTTAGACAGGGATGTGTATGTCACCATGGTTGTTTAATATATTTATAGATGGGGTTGTAAAAGAAGTAAATGCTAGGATGTTCGGGAGACAGGTGGGATTAAATTATGGGGAATCAAATACAAAATGGGAATTGACACGGTTACTTTTTGCTGATACTATGCTTATGGGAGATTCTAAAGAAAAATTGCAAAGGTTAGTGGACAAGTTTGGGAGTGTGTGTAAAGGTAGAAAGATGAAAGTGAACATAGAAAAGAGTAAGGTGATGAGGGTATCAAATGATTTAGATAAAGAAAAATTGGCTGTCAAATTGGGGAGGAGGAGTATGGAAGAAGTGAATGTTTTCAGATATTTAGGAGTTGATGTGTCAGCGGATGGATTTATGAAGGATGAGGTTAATCATAGAATTGATGAAGGAAAAAGGCGAGTGGTGCATTGAGATATATGTGAAGACAAAAAAACGTTATCTCTGGAGGCAAAGAAGGGAATGTATGAAAGTATAGTAGTACCAACACACTTATATGGGTGTGAAACTTGGGTTGTAAATGCTGCAGCGAAGAGGAGGTTGGAGGCAGTGGAGATGTCCTGTCTAAGGGCAATGTATGGTGTAAATATTATGCTGAAAATTCAGAGTGTGGAAATTAGGAAAAGGTGTGGAGTTAATAAAAGTATTAGTCAGAGGGCTGAAGAGAGGGTTGTTGAGGTGGTTTGGTTATTTAGAGAGAATGGATCAAAGTAGAATGACATGGAGAGTGTATAAATCTGTAGGGAAAGGAAGACTGGGTAGGGGTCGTCCTCGAAAAGGTTGGAGGGAGGGGGTAAAGGAGGTTTTGTGGCCGAGGGGCTTGGACTTCCAGCAAGCGTGCCTGAGTGTGTTAGATAGGAGTGAATGGAGACGAATGGTATTTGGGATTTGATGAGCTGTTGGAGTGTGAGCAGGGTAATATTTAGTGAAGGGATTCAGGGAAACCAGCTATTTTATATAGCCGGACTTGATTCCTGAAAGTGGGAAGTACAGTGCCTGCACTTGAACCCTTTCACTATTTTGGTCATATACGTATATACGTTTTACGAGCCAGTGTTTTGGACGTATTAATACACACAAATTCTAGTGGCTTCAAATCAAACAGGAGAAAGCAGGTAGGCCCACATGCGAGATAATGGATCTGTGTGGTCAGTGTGCATGACATGAAAAAAATCCTGCAGCACGCAGTGCATAATGAGAAAAAAAAACTGACTTTTTTTGGATTAAAACGCCGAGTTTGAGGTGTATTTTTGTATAGTATTTATCGTTGTATTCTCGTTTTCATGGTCTCACATGATAAAATGGAAAACATATTACAGAAATAGAGATGATGTTGATTAGTTTCACGATGAAAACTACCTTGAAATTGGGCTCAAAATAGTGGAAATGTTCGATTTTTACCAATGTTCAGGAGTAAGCCAATCACACCACACGTCCAATACGCATTAACTGGGGAGTCTAATATTCTTTCAGTAGTGCACTGATATTATTTATACCATTTTTACAATAATGCAGTAGTCTGCATAACAGTAAATTTTGTATTTTTTGTAATAATACAAAATCAAAATAGAAAGCAGTAGTGATATAATAGGGGCCTAGAGACGTGACTAATGAACAGAGGATATGTTATTTTAGTGCCAAGAATGTCTACATTGTTTATTCTGGACCCTATTTTGAAATTGGCATCTTTTTTAATTTGCATGAAATTGACCAAATTACCAATTTCTGACCACTTTATTGGGTAGTTCAAATCGGTAAATGGGCGGTTTCTTGTACTCAACTGATAGAAAAAATGGAGTTCTAAAGAAATAGCTATGAGTTTGGTCAACTTGAATAACGAAATTGGCCAAAAACAGGGCTTAAATTCAGCGAAATAGCTGATGCGTATGTCGCCAAGACCGCTTACTTCGCGGGAGTGTAATTCCATGAGTTTTCGACCAAATTTCGTACTTTTGGTGTCATTACCACCGGGAAAAGATTCTCTATCATTTCATAAGAAAAAATAATTTTTTTTTTTTTTCCAAAAATTTAGCGACATAGAATGACAGTTTCAGAAAGGGGCTTGCAACAGTCAAAGGGTTAAAGGAGGGGTTTGGGATATTGGCAGTTTGGAGGGGTATGTTGTGTATCTTTATACATATTTACTTCTAAACTGTTGTATTCTGAGTACCTCTGCAAAAACAGTGATTATGTGTGAGTGAAGTGAAAGTGTTGAGTGATGATGAAAGTATTTTCTTTTTTGGGATTTTCTTTCTTTTTGGGTCGCCCTGCCTCGGTGGGAGATGGCTGACTTGTTAAAAAAAAAACAAAAAAAACATTGATAACCTCTCCTCACTTAACGACTAAGTTCCGTTCCTAAGACAACGTTGGTAAATGAATTTGTCGCTAAGTGAGGAGCATTATATAATGGTAGTGGGTTTGTGTCACCCATTTTTGATATTGTTTTAACGTCAGTTTTGCACCATTTATAACATTTCTGGTATATTTTTAAATGTTTATACAGCAGTGTACTCTATATTATAATGAGCAGAATAGAGGAAATTAGCTCTAATATACATTATTTAGGTATGCATACTGGTCAGAGAGCCTGTTGTAAGTCTGAGTCGTTGGTAAACGAGTACGTTGCTAAGTGAGGAGAGGCTTTATAACAGCCTCTCCTCACAGTCACAGCATTTTTTTTAAATTTGCATTTAATACTAAAAAGATTACATAGAAGTGCCATTCTTTTAAGTTTATGAATCTAGCACTGAATACTTACAAGGTAAAACAATACCTGTAGTTAAAAAAGTAAATTATAAAGTTATTCAATAATGCTAAAGTTGTAAATGACAAGTCAGAAAAGACTGACTGGTTGTCTTTGAAATTTTAATTAATTGGAGATTAATTTTAGTGAGAGAGAGTATACAAAATTTTTCCAGTTTTTATTAATTCATTTAAGAATATTGGGACCTGAGGAGCAGGGTAATATTTTGTGAAGGGATTCTGGAAACCAGTTCGCTGGACTTGAGTCCTGGAAATGGGAAGCACAATGCCTGCACTTTAAAGGAGGGGTTTAGGATATTGGCATTTTGGAGGGACATCTAAACTGTCGTATCTGAGCGCCTTTGCAGAGACAGTGATTATGTATGAGTGATGGTGAAAGTGTTGAATGATCAAAGTTTTTTCTTTCTTTTTGGGTCACCCTGCCTCAGTGGGAAATTGCCAACATGCTAAAAAAAAGTATATTACAGTTATTGAATTTTTCTTATAAGCTCTTCTGTATTTTTGGTCCTTTTATTTAGATTTATATGGCTTAAAAGCTAGGACTAACACTATTAGTATAAAAGTAGAATAAATTTGAATCTGTATATAAAGTTCCATGATATAGTAACACAAAATTTAGTAGAAATTGGACTTATAGTGAAAGACAATAAATTAAGTAGAACCCTTTAAATGTGTCCAACATACTAGTACACAGGTGATGACTATACGGCTGATGCACAAGTGCGCACAATTCTTTTATGCCTTCAAATACACCACCTACCAATATTTTTGACCTCAGCACACCTGTTTGGGCCTCCTGCAACCTTCTCATGCCTTAGGAAAAAAAACTGAAGACCCAACAGGTTCACGTAATGCATCATGGGTAACACTGCCGAACTAGCATATAAACAATGAAACTAGGACCTCGTGCCACCACCAACTTCCCTACCAGCAAGCAAGATGTAGAGCTGGCAGAAGGTTGTTTTACAGATTCTAAATTTATTATGATTTCATAATAATAGTGGAATTCAATAAAAAATCATACTACAGTTTATTGATTTGTCCTAGGACAATTCAGTAGTGTCAAAAAATGTGACTTATTTCCATGTTTCAATGGGTATTACACCTTGAAACAATTTTAATATAAAATTTCCTTGTAAATGCATGTTTTATAGCTTTGAAGGCACACAGGTGTTATGGACACAGCAGTTACATTATTTATAACCCAGGATAAAGAGAAATTTTCATTTTTCTCTTTGGGTCACCTTGCTTCGGTGGGATACAGTCAGTTCACTGAATGAAAAAAAAATCCTATATTATGCAACTATTATCATTAACCTAGGATAACTCAATATAGCTAAACAGTATTTTCATGCTTTGAGGAGTGTTATACCTTGAAACAATAATAATACCATAAGGATTCATTGGACATTGTATTAAAAAATTAGAAAAAACATTTATTTGCAACAATTTATACATACAGTGGACCCTCGGTTTTCGGGTTTAATGCATTCCAGAGAGACCGGCGAAAATAGTAATCGACGAAAGCTGAAACCATTTTCCCCAAGAAATAATGTAAATCAAATTAA